TTTTTAATGTACAATTCGTTATATAAAGTATATTTTTTTATTAATATTAATATCACATAAATAATTTTAATTAAATATTAATAAATTAAAAATTAATTTTTATTTTTTTAATATAAATTAATTATTAAAAGCACAAATTAAGGTCACGTATTAAAATAAAAAAATTCTTAAATCTGAATTCCCGCTTGTTTATAGAATTAAAAAGAAAAAAAAGTTTAGCGAATCTTGAACCTGCAATTCACTTGCTCCCTTACTTTGAGCTATGATTATGAATAAAAGTACTAAACTTTTACAAAGATATCCACGACAAATTTATTAAGAGTGGGATTAGTACTAGATTTGACTCTAATCAGCTCAAGTAATGCAAGTGCAAGTGCAGCTTAAGCTCTCTCAGTAGGAGTTGAGTCGTCATAATTTGAATTCACGAAATGACCAGATGGGCAGCAAATGCGTCGGGCCCCACACTTCCAAACGTCGAGAGAAAGAGAGAGAGAGAGAGAGAGGGAGTGGGCTAAAGATATGAGAGGACAAATTGGTCATAATTTGAATTCTCCGGAAAACAACTTTGAACTCTGACAGCTAGTACCCGTCCCCCCCACCCTTACTGTTCCCTTCTCCTCACCATCTCTTCTTCTCAGCTCTAAAAGGAAAGAAAGAGAAAAAAACCACCAGCAACCACGCACTCTCATCTCCTCTGTGACGCCAAACACAGGAGAAACAACAGAGCAGAATCTGTAGACGAGATTTGTAGCCGGAGAAAGCGAAATGTCAGGTTACGTAGGAATTCTCGTCTCCGATCCATGGCTCCAGAACCAGTTCACTCAAGTCGAGCTTCGCAGCCTCAAGTCTCACGTAAGCAACTCGTTTTTTTGATCTGTTCGTTCCGATTCAGAATCTCTGGTTCTCTATCTGTGAAGAAAATCGATGTGAAAATTATGATTTGTGAATCCTGATCATAAGTGTTTGTTTGTTTGTTTGATTGATTGATTGATTGATTGTTTTGTTTTGTTTTGTTTTCTGTAGTTCATGAGTATGAGGAGGGAGAGCGGGAAGCTTACGGTGGGAGACTTGGCATCGAGAATGTCGAGATTGAAAGTTGTAGGGGAGAATCTCACCGAGCAGGAGAGAGCTTCCTTCATCAGTGATTTGTACCCGAACTTGAGCGATGAGGTCGATTTTGAGTTCTTTTTGAAGGTTAACTCCTTATCTTTAATAATCTGCGATCTCTCTTTCATTTGATGGGATTCGAGAGTGTTTAAGATCTTTTCTGGCTTGATTTTTGAGATTTTCAGCTGATCAAGTTTCATTTTGCTCGCTATGTTTTATTTCTTGTTTCCTTTTGAGAGGTTCTTATTCTGCTTTTATATTTAATCTAGCAATATGAATCTTTTACCTGCTCTGTATTGATGTTTTGAAATTCTTTAATCTGACTTGGTATTGAGTGAATCAGCATACGAATTTTCGGAGATGTATCTGCTGATCGAACTTACTAGAGATTTGTAATTTGTAATTCCAGTGTTTTTAGTTTATGTTTTATGAGGATTTTAAGATGATTTACACATTATTTAAGGAGGCAAATGCTAATCTGAATAAGATTTTTTCCATTTTCCTTCGTTCCATAACAATGGTATTTTGGTTTTATTCAGGTTTATTTGAAACTTCAAGCACATGCAAGTGCAAGAACAGGAACTGGCACAAAGAACTCATCTGCATTCCTCAAGGCAGCTACCACTACCTTGCTTCACACAATCAGTGAATCTGAAAAGGCATCCTATGTTGCACATATCAATAACTATCTAGCGGAAGATGAGTTCTTAAAGAAATACCTTCCTATTGATTCTTCTTCTAACGATCTCTTTGAGATTGTGAAGGATGGAGTTCTTCTGTGGTACTCATTCTTTGTACCTTTTAGCTGTTTAAGTTGTTGTTTCAAGGTCACTTGAGTATAATATATTAAAGCCATGTTCTTCAATGCAGTAAGCTGATAAATGTAGCTGTTCCTGGTACAATTGATGAACGAGCTATTAACACAAAGAGAATACTCAACCCATGGGAAAGGAATGAAAACCACACTCTGTGTCTCAACTCTGCTAAGGCCATTGGATGTACAGTAGTCAACATAGGGACACAAGATTTTGTTGAAGGAAGGGTATGTATGCATATGATGCATCCTTATAAATACTTAGCGGTTGAATTTTCAGTTTTAGCTATGAAAACCTTTTGCATATATTTCAAGATTTATTAATCTTGTTTATGGTTTTGAAAAAGAAAAATGCTAATGTATTTTAATTTTTAAAGCCTGATTAGGTTATGTTGCATTTTTTAAGTCAGTGTGGCAAGGTCCATAGCACTACAGAAGTTTGTATCCAATCCAGTAGTTGGAGCCTAAGTCATGGTATCCCTCTTTAATTTAATTCCCCAGATGGGAATAAGGGGAAACCTTTTGGACTTTACCATAGGCTTTCCTTTCTCAATTTAATGAATTTTAGAGCAATCATTCGTTTGTTAGTCTGTTTTCCCCTTAATATTAGAAACAGAGAGGAAGTAGGTATGGCTACTTCTGTTGGTTTGGACTGGATATAGCATTTTACATATATCATCTTTGGTAAGAGCTAGTTTGTTGGAGAGTACCCTTTTATCTCTTTGTAGCATTCATCATTACTTTCAAAATGGAGGCTTGCTTCTCTCTTAATCACAAAAGCTATGGACCTTAACTCATGTTGATTTTTCTGTTTCCTAGATGGGTAAAGTAAAACTCTGAAACCCCTTACAATTTCATTTTCTTGCTCCAAAGTTCTTTTCCTCTGGCAGAATGTGTTGTCTTAATAACTTATTGTTATCCTTTTATATAAGTTAATCTTTTCCATTTAGTGATTAATGATAATGATATGCTCTGGTGGCTCATCTTCAGAGACATCTTGTGCTTGGATTAATTTCTCAAATTATTAAGGTAAGATTCTTTTGGCTGTCAATTTAATTAACCTTTTGCACTTCTGCTAGTTTCCCAAACATTGGTTGGCCTTTCTAATTATTAAATGCTATACTAGATACAACTGCTGGCAGACCTGAACTTGAAAAAAACACCACAGTTAGTTGAGTTGGTTGATGATAGCAGGGTGAGAAATCCTTTTATCAAAACATTGGTTTTCTCTATTGACTGGCAGAGTTTATAGATAGTTTCCTGATATATTTTCTTATTCTGAACCCAACAGGATGTGGAAGAGTTGATGAGTTTACCGCCAGAGAAGATCTTGCTTAGGTGGATGAATTTTCAGTTGAAGAAAGCTAGTTATCAGAAAACAGTTACAAACTTCTCTTCTGACGTAAAGGTAAACATTTGCTTTGTTTTGATTGAAGAAACTTAAAAACGCGATTTTTCACTTGTGATCTTGACTGATTTATTTTTTTATTTTTTTATTTTTTATCATCTTTAAATCAGAAGACTTTGATGGTGTAACCATGCTTGTCTAATTTATCTTATAAATTGCGCTATATAAATGCCATAAGCAAATGTTGAAGGTTTTTTTATCCATTTAAAATTTTTAAAACATCAAAGGGAAAAATCTGTCTTTTCTAGAACTAATATTAGCAATTTAGCACTCCAAGTAAATTCTTTGACTCGGAACTTTACCCATATCTAACTACCTCTCTTCCTCAATTATTTCTGCCAATGGTAAATGAAGCTATAATTTATTTACTCTTTAAAATCACCAAGAGTTTACTGCTGGTATTTGAGGATATAGTGTGCTTCGTGCAGGATGGAGAGGCTTATGCCCACCTTTTAAATGTTCTTGCACCTGAGCACAGTAACCCATCTACATTAGCTGTCAAAGATCCATTAGAAAGAGCAAAGTTAGTTCTTGAACATGCAGACAAGATGGGTTGCAAAAGATACTTAACTGCAAAGGATATTGTTGAAGGTTCACCGAATCTTAACCTTGCGTTTGTTGCACATATTTTCCAGCATAGGTAAGAGTAACCTTTCTTGAGTAATTAATTTTAATAGAGTAATGCATTCTCCAGTTCTTCTTTATGGTGTTTCCTGACCTGGAGTGCATGAATATCATTCTAATGGCAAAATATTTCTGGATAGAAAACAAATTTCAACAGCCAGTACTATTACCTTTGCTTATATTTTAGTTGTAGATGTTTGGAATTTCATCACTTTGGGAGACATATTTTAAAGATCCTAGAATGTTTTCAGAAAGATAGGGGGAAAAACATGTATAGTTGAAATCTTAATTCCACCATGCTTAATTTACACTCCTTTGGTTTAATTGGTTCATTCCTAGTTTCCCATTTTGCCCTTGTTAAGCACAATGGTAAGATTGTCCACCATTGTTGTTACAATTTTTTTGTCATTTCTTGTTGACATCCATTTATGTTTTGAGATCATGAACACAACATTTTCCGTTTTACTTTAGTGTGATTAGAGACTTTTTACTGGAGCACATCCTACTTCACCTCACATAATCATTGTATGAATCATCTACTTTATTTTTCATTTGTAGGCCCCTTGAATAAGGAGAACCTGATATCTTAAGGGATTATACTTGGTATTACCGTGGCTATCTGAATTCTAATGTTTAAATCATCTTATTTAAAGTTGAATTATGTTCTTGTGTTAAGTAGAAGCTTCTAGATGTATATAGGCAGTATGAAATTTCATCATTATATTTAGATTGATAATACAAACGACAATTTACTCATCAGTTATCACCGACAAAAGTTCAAAAGTTTTATAACTGCTATTGTTTACCTGCAGGAATGGCCTTTCTACCCAAACAAAACAGATATCGTTTCTTGAAACTTCACCAGATGACACTCAAATTTCTAGAGAAGAAAGGGCATTTCGCCTCTGGATCAATAGCCTTGGAAATTCAACATATATTGACAATGTCTTTGAAGATCTCAGAAATGGGTTAGTCTTTTTCATGGGAAGTGTAATAATTCAAGCTTATATAATCGTATGTACATAATTAGCTGTTATCAAGGGACACAGTGTTATTTTACAAACTTTCTGACAGACTAATTTTCATCTATTCTACATTTCTACTTGCATGAACCTGTTCAAGTTTATTAGTGTCTGTTTCAATTTCCCGGTCATTCAAGTTTCAGCTTTTTGATAACTTATTGAAAGTTTTTTTCTTTAAAAAAAAAAAAAAACAAGATTGAAATTTTTTTTGCTAAAGTTGAATTACTCTTTCCTTTTTAACCACAATGCTCAATCCTTTTTCGTCTTTGTGACATTCCATTTTATTTTGAAGCTGAAGTGACAACATGTTACTTTGCAGGTGGGTACTACTGGAGACCCTTGACAAGGTGTCCCCTGGGATAGTTAATTGGAAAATTGCGAACAAGCCTCCAATTAAGTTGCCATTCAGAAAAGTAGAGAATTGTAACCAAGTAGTAAAAATAGGGAAGCAATTGAAGTTTTCGCTTGTCAACATTGCTGGAAATGATATTGTTCAAGGAAATAAAAAGCTGATACTCGGTGTGTTCTCTACCATGTCAATTTCCTCCATCATTGTCAATTCACTGTAAAATATTTTGCCCCGCTCTTAAACTTCCCTCCAAATATGTTGCCTATTTTTTATGAAATTTTTTTTTTTGCATTTTTTCGTCAGCTTATTTGTGGCAATTGATGAGATGCAACATCCTCCAACTTCTGAAGAACTTGAGATTCCATGCTCATGGAAAAGAAATCACTGATGCTGATATTTTAGAATGGGCCAACACAAAAGTAAGAAATTCAGGGAACCAGAGTCGTATGGGTAGTTTTAAGGTACTGTTTTCCTGGCCAGCTTCATCTATCATATGTCACTTTTGTGTTTTCTCTACTTTGATACAAGTTAATCCTTTGAAGGCTTTAATTCACAGCCTACTGGTGGAATGAGTAATAAAGACGATACATGATACTTTTCTCAAAGCATTTCCAGAAATGAAGTTCAAAAGCTACCATCTTATTTTTCATAGAGTGCTAAAAGGGTGAATGCTGTGAACTATATGCCAGGAAATGTGGCCCATACTGCAATGATATAAAGTTTATTTTATCTTTAGAGGGAAAAATATTTGAGTAACCACACAGCTTAAGAATCATATGGTGAATTTTTAATCTGATTACCCCACTAAGAAACTCAAACAGATATGGTTGGATGATCATTTTAATGCAAAATTGCTAGATTCTTTCAGACTTTCTGGAGTTCTAATGATGGATGTTTTGCAACTAACTAGACAAAGGATTTTGTTATTTTATATTGTTTTCTTACACTTGGATGGTATACTCACAACAGAAGTTGAGGAGCTATTTCCTCAAGTTCATGCAAGATATGTTTTCCTATAACCTTATTATGCCCATTTCACTAAAGACAAATATATTTAGATCTTGATGAACCTTACTGTTATTTTCTCAACCCTTACTGATTTCTCATCTTTGACACTGCTTGCCAACAAGATAAATGAGAATGATCTTCTCTGTAATTGATAACTCAAAATGATCTAAGCCTTATATTATGCCATAGCAAGGGTCCAAGGTTATTTAGTTCACTTGATTAATTGCATTTCAATTTTACAGGATAAGAGCTTGTCAGATGGCATATTTTTCCTTGAGCTGCTTAGTGCTGTCCAACCTAGAGCTGTAAACTGGAGTCTGGTTACCAAAGGAGTATCTGGTATGCTTACTTTATCTAAGTTTGTATTATTTATTCCTTTTTCCAGAATATCTCATTGTCTTATCATAAATGGATTAGTTGGTGACATGACATTGCATCCTAATCACTGGCATCATATTTTTCTTGAAGCTTCATTTTCAACTCATATCTCTTTTGACTGTAAAAGCATATGACAACAGAACTGCTACTGGGGAGCAACTAATGGTTGAGTTTGTCTCTATTTACCTGTCACCAGATAAAATAAATCCGGGTCTTGTCCAAAGTCATCCATCAGTATAACCATCCCCAACTTATGTTATAATCGATCAAGCCTAGTGTAATAAATGTGCAATGCTTCTATTTAGACGCTCTTTTGATATTTTCATCACGATGCAACTTGTGTTCCAGCCCTTGACTGTCATACAATTAGGAGATTAGGTGAGTGATTTCACTATAATTTTGGTGGAAGTGCTTTAGTAGGGTATTTTGGTCCAAATATCACATCAGGAATTCATTTCAATAAGATTGTAAAGAAAAATGAGCAGGGAGAAGCACAATGTTGCAGGTTGCAAGTAGCAACATGAGATTTTTCTGTCTTATTTCTATTTTCATATGTTTATGCATTTTACATATTTGAAAGAAATCCAAAAATTTAGACTGCTACTACCATCTCCTTGCAACACAGATTTAATTTTTCTAATATCATATTAACACCTCTTGCACATAATTGCTGTGCTACTGCTATGCCAAATGTTGCCCTTGTTCATACTCCCTTTTTCAGGGTACCAACAGGAGTCATGTTATTCAAGATCCAATTAAGGAATGATAATTTGTAGACATTGCCTATCATGTTCCCTATTTACACAGTATTTTACTAATATTGAAATATCGTATAGTTTTCGGCCAAGAAAAAAAAATCAGAAGTGGAGCCTTGGTTTCCTACAACATCTAAACACTTTATTCCTCATCTACAATCTTGACCAGATGGTGTAGGGATTGTGTGTTTGATTTCCCACAGCTTTATGGATGCTTGTTAGTTGATTTGTTATCAGTTATCTATTCTAATAGTTTGTTAGGTCATATTTATCATTTCTTCGATGGTTTGACTCCCATCTGCCAAGCTTCTTGTCTTTCAATGACTGCTTCAAATTTGGGACACTTTACCTAAGACAAAAACTCCTTTTCATTTTTGTAGGAATGTATTGTAGACGATAGGTTTATAACTCAGAGAAATTCCATTTTCATTTTTTCCTTGATATGTGTGCATCTTGCTTGAATTTTGCCTGACTAATATAACTCAAACAACTTGTTTTCCCTACTCGTGACCATTGTAGAGGAGGAGAAAAAGATGAACGCTACCTACATTATCAGTATTGCAAGGAAGCTTGGGTGCTCTATATTTTTGCTTCCTGAGGACATAACTGAGGTATTTTTTGCTTCCAGAAGAATTTTTCAGTTATTATGCATCATGTTTTTCTGAGTCAGTTGTATTCCTATTTGAACCTTGTGTCTGAATATCCCAAGCCACTGCTGATTAGGTTATCATGTACAGTTTGCATGGTGAGGATGTTTCTTCCCGCCTTGGCAGGAGATGAAATACCAACCGTGTTATTATGATATTCGTTGTGGAGAATTAGAATCTTTTTCCTTCATTTTTGTTGTTTTATATGCTTTGCCTAATCATTTTCAGGTGAATCAGAAGATGATCCTTACCTTGACTGCAAGTATCATGTATTGGTTCTTGAAACATCCCGTTGAAGAAAAACCATCTACAACTTCAGATAGTGAAAGTGGTAGCCAAGTGGACACTATCTCAAATCTAACTACTGATGACTCAGCATCCGAGTCATCAATAGAGGAGAATGGCAATATATAAAAAATTATAAATAGGTGTCTCTTTTATTTCATACACCTTCCTTCGTTTTTTTTCTTTTTCTTTCCAGTTAAATTTGATTGCAAAAATTGTTGTATGATGCTACAATGGCAGATGCTAAAACAAATTTTGCCAGCCAAATGCATTTGTGAATAGTATTTTGATCTTTGTATTGTGTCTATAATGAATATCATGATTCTTCTTTACTTGGCATTTGTTTTATTCACAAATTACTTCACTGTTTAAACTTTAGACGAAACAGTTCTTGATATGGTAGAGAGTCAATTTGTCCAACCTAACCAAAGTTATCCGAGAAATAAAATTGACTTTTCCAGTCCTGTTTGTTGCCCTTGTTGTAGTATTAATATAAATGCGCATTAAAATGATCAAAATCAGTTGGATAAACCATCAGTTGAATTGTCCTTCTCATACATAGCAGCTATGGCATTGGCTTATAGGAGGGGCTAAGAAAATGTTGACGAGATGACAGGTGCAGCTGAGTGAGAGGGCAGTTTAGTGGTCCTGGGCACAGGATGACAAGCATGTGGATGCTGTTTATCCAAGACTAAGCATAATTATGAGGTAGTTAAAAAGTCTTAATTCTAAAGCTTTGCTGTTGATCAAACCGTAGGCAAAGGGAAGGCCCCACCCATGTTCTTCTCTTGCCATTTGAAGCCAACACCCAAACAAAAATTAAAACGCCAGTTGAGCGTGCGTATTGATTTTGCATCTCTGGCATCACTTTGTTCTTTTCCAACCATTATATATGCTCTTTTTCTATGGTATTTATGATGAAAATATGATAGTGATGATGATATGGTTTAAAGAATATTCAATGTTTTACTCCATCAATAATCTTACTGTAGGATCACTTTATGACTTTTTAAGATAGCTGAAAGATTACGGTGAAGAGTTTTTGTTTTTGTTTTTTTTTTAAATCCACATTAAGGTGCAATATTTCAAATTATGTTTATTTGTGATTAAGCCTTGGAGTAGGTAATTAAATTGCTAGAGAAAGAATTAATATTAAGGTGTGTGTAAGGTAGTCAAGAAATAACCCAACATATCGTTTATATTTTGGCAAAAACATTTTTCTTTTGGCCATCCTTTTTGAGGGTGAAAATAAATTTTATACAATAGAAACTTTTCAAGAAGTTAAAAATAAATCAATAATTTAAATAATTCAGTAATAATTTCCTTTGAAAAGAAAAGATCTTAAATTCAAATAACATAATATATAAATAGAGTAGATTAAAAGATGAAAAAGGAGTTACCTCTTATTATGTAACTTAAAATTATAAAAAAAGATTAAAATAAAAAAAATGGGGGGGGGGAGAGTTAAAGATATATAAATGCACAATTTTCAATTAATTTATATAAAAAATAAAAAATTAAGTTTTATTTTAATATCATTGTCACGTAAATAAATCTAATTAACTTTTTTTTTTTCTATTTTGGTTGCACAATGGGAGACAACCATCTTCTATCTCTTATTCCACCCTATTCACACGTCATACGATTCGAATTCAGATATCTTACTTTCAGTGAAAAGAGATGACTACTGATCTATTCGAGTCATTAGCAAAAATCTAATTAACTAATTGATTAAATTAAAGTTATCATTTAAATTGTTTATACAAATTAATTATAAAAAAATATTTATTGTGTTCTTAATCTATACCATCAAAAAAATTAAAAATAAAATTATTTAAGAAATCGGATCAGACCAGCACCTCACCAAAAAAAAAAAAAAAACGAAAATCAAATTATTTGCAAAGTTTAAATATATAATGGGGTTGTGGCTTTTCAAGTCGACTTACAAGGAAAAAGTTATAAGAATACTCGTAAAATTATTTAATTACTCTTAATGATTAATAATTTTATAGGTATTAATGCATTTTTTTTTTTTTGCAACTCAATTTGAAATACACTTTTCAAATATATAATTACTGATGTATAAATTTAATTACACAATAATAAATTTAAAATCAATTTTTATTTTTTCTATACAAATTTATAACTAAAAGGTATATCTATTCTTCTCTTAAAATGTGCCTTAAGTGTATGTTTAGTTTGAGATAAGGGAGGATTTTTTTATTAATTAAATTGTATTATTTATAAATATTATAACTTAATTAATTAAAAAAATTATTCCTCCTCTCTCTACTTCTCTCCGTTGCTCTCAAACCAAATATACTTTAAAAACACATATCCAAAAAGCCCTTTCTCTAAGTTAATATTAGTTTTCAATAATGTAATTAAAATATCCAAATATTTTTATTTGTTGAATTAGTCCAAACCATGTAAACTTAACCTTTGTATCAAACACCCCTACGAGGTCCCTGGCTATCAGTTGGTACGTACAGACTTTTCCCATCAAACCGAACTATACCATGGCATACAAATAAGAATGAACAGAACAGTGAAAAAGCAATATATTAGCAACTTTTTTCCTTTTTTTTTTTTCAATTTATGGTTGCATAATAAGTCTCTTTCATGTCTTTACAAATCATGCCCGCATGCCATGCATGGTGGAGATATGGGATTACTAAATCAACTCACTAATTACATTTAAATCACTAAATTAAAAAAATTATAGCCATACATTTAAATCACTAAGATGATTGTTTGGATTACATGCAAATGTAAGAAGGGGAGGGGTTAGCCTTTAATAAAATGGCGAAAAGGGGATGGGGTGTGTTTTCGTTTGCTGTTGCTTGGACCATTTGGAACACTACAAATGACAAAATGTTCAGGAATAGGACTGTAGATATAGATAGAATGTTTGACTAAGTACAGGAGAGCCTTCCAATGATTCAAGAACAGAGGGAATACTGGAACCCTTTTCTATCAGATTGAATTTTAAATCCCAGCTACTGCTTTGGTAAGTGAACTAAGAGCGGGATGGTTTTCGTGGAGATTGGTAGGTTTGTATTAGCCGAAGGATTGAGTTCTTAATTGTAATTATAATAGACTCGGGTATTCTTTGTACTTCTTTTAAAAAATAAAACATTCTCTGCTTTATAAAAACATTTAAATCACTAAATCAACCTAATGATTAATTATAAGAAATTAATACAAAGTTGGAATATAAATTGAACAAGAAAAGTACTAAAGTGGATCTAAAAAGGTCCTTAAACTACCCGTCTCTAAGAAGACATTAAACAATTCTCAATGAGTGTTGGAAATATTTCAACCTAAAATAAATAGAACCTTTTTAATTTTTTTTCTTTATTTTTCTTTATTTCCCAATCCCCACATTTTCCATTTTCAAAGAAAAGGACTAAAAGCATTGCTTTTAAGGGTGCAAGAAAAATAGCATACTTGTAGTCAAGGTTGTATCATTTATTTGTTATTGAAGTTTGATGATCAAATTCAAGGTCTAGCGTAATAAATAGAATAATGAATAGCACATCATTTGATTTAATACATTTTACAATATATTTATTAAAAAATTATTATTTTTAAATTTAAATTTAAAACGAGAAATTTTTAATTGCAAATTTTAATGGTTGAACCAATAAGTATTAATAAATATGTTGAATAAAAAAAATAGCACATCATTTGATTTAATATATTTTACAATATATTTATTAAAAAATTATTATTTTTAAATTTAAATTTAAAACGAGAAATTTTTAATTGCAGATTTTAATAGTTGAACCAGTAAGTATTAATAAATATGTTGAATAAAAAAATGCACTAATCATTTTTTTTTTATAAATACCATGTAAGGTTGGTATCCACTATTTTGTTTACTTTTTTATTATGAAGTCAAAGTCAAGAATATACTAATCTTCCATTCATAGTGTATATAGTCTCTCATTTCAATTATGAAAAGAAAAAAGATTGATATATCCTTAAGTTGAATATGCTTCCCAATATACATTGATTTAGTCATTAAAATTTACAATCAAATGTTTTCCCACTTTGAATTAAATTTAAAAATAATAATTTATTAATAAATATATTGTGAAATATGCTAAATTAAAGGGTATGTTAATCATTGTTCTAATGAAACTTACAGAGCGTATTGCAAACGAAATAAAAAATGATCAATTAACTTGTGTTTTAAGTCTTCAATTTTCATATCAAGTTCTCTTGCTAGAACCTAAATAAAGACAAATAATTCAATATGGCCTCCAAGAATCAAACTTAATAACCTGCTTGCCAACTAGGCTAAAGGTCTATTTGTTATAATGGTTTAAAGGTAACGATTAGTGGTTTTGTTCAAACTATTAAAAATAAATATTTG